TTCGAATAACGGTTTTAAATCGGAGTCAATGGTCGCATCAACAGTATCCGAGCCCTCTCAAGAGCGACCTCGAATACTGGGGGCCATCACCCTCGGGTTAGGCTTCCTAGCAAGAAAAGAATGAAACTTTGTACTTGAACATCTTAGGCTCGGCGGTTAGGATTTATTGTAAGGGCCAAACGGTCCGAGTGAACCGTGCCCGCATAGGCCACCTTAGCCATAATACAAGCTTTTACACGCTTTCGATCATGTACTTTACACACAGAAAAGAAAGAAAGTTTCCACATGTTATTACATATTTTTGCCTCTTAAAGCATCAAGACTAAAGGCTATCCCTATTCGGGGACTGTCAAGCCCAAGGGCTACCCCTACTCGAGCCTAACGACTATACCTATTTGGGGACTATCGAGCCCAAGGGCTACCCCCAATCTAGGACTATCGTCCGGAATAAGATCGGGCAATTCAAGGCTATCAAAATCCCGGAGGCACAAAACCTATTAGGTAATGCATAAACCCAAAAGGCTACGACCACCCTAAAAACGGCTCGGAGACGTCCGAAGCCCGTAATCAAAGCAAAAGGCCTTCATAAAAATTCAAAACCTGCTAAAGGGTTACCTCAGCAAAAGCATCGTCTAAGATCACTTAAGCATCTTGGGAAAACTTTCGGCCACTCTGAGTTTTCAAAGCCTCGAGAAAATAAAGTTGCATCAAAGTCAGACCCTGTTCGGACCTCCGAAAAGCAAATGACTTATTACTACATTTGATTCTATGTAAAGGCAAGAACAGAAAAGATGCTAAAAAAGTGAAGACTCAAAATTGCCAAAAAGGAAAATTTTATATATTCTAGAATGTCTTTACAAAGGCCCAACAAAAACGGCCTCAAATAAAAAAACACAAAAACAAAAAAAATTCTAAGGCATTCACGCCTGATCGTCGTCGGGACCCGATTCGGCCCCAGAACCATCGGAGCCTTCGGATTCCTCTGTACCCTCGGGTTTAGAAAGTTTCTTTGCTTCAGTCTCAAGCTTCCTTGCCTCCTCGATCTTGGCCGACAGGTCGAAGCCTCGGGCATGGATCTCTTAGAGGGTCTCCCTATGAGAGAACCACCTCATATATTTGGTATTAGTTTTCAGTCGGGCCTCAGTTGTTTCAACGTCGTCCTTGTATTGGGCCACCATCTCTTCAGCATCGGTGGAGGTTGTGTCCAACTTGGACCTTATTGCTTCATATTCTTTACTGATGCCATCCCGTTGCTAGGAGTTCGTCGTTTAGCTGGGATCGCTTGTCGTCTTTCTCCTTTGCCATCCAAAGTTAAACCTGTACCGATACCAGTTGTGCTCGGGCTGTTTCCTTCTCCAAAGCCAGCCGGTCCATTTTGCTTTTCCAACCATCAGCCATGGCTTGGACCTCGTTCATTTCAACTCGGAGTTGGGCGATCAAGTCGATCTTCTCCTGGACCTGTGAGGTTTGGTCGTTAGTCACCATGATTAGTTCCTTGTTTCTAACTTCAAAGACCTTTACCTTTTGGAACAGGTCGGCCTGTTCCCACCTCAGGGTCGAAGCCTCCTTCTAAGCCCTATCTAGCTCGACCTGAAGGTCCTTGATGGCCCCGTCCTGTTGCTCGCTGAGGAGCTTGTACATATCCATTTTTTGAGCCTGCTCCTTGAGCTCGAGCGCAAGATGATTGACCTCAAACCGGTATCAGAGAAAGCTCTCATGATGAAGTACCGAGGCCTGCGAAATAATGAAAGACGTGAGAGACATCAGAACCTGAGTAAAATCCAAAAAGATGTAAGGATGCCTTACTTGGTTCAGCGCTTGCTACGCCTAATTGAAAAGGCACGGAACATTCACCTCGTTCACTTTTGCCTGGTCCTCCTCGGTTACCAGGCATCGGAGGTAGCTGGCTACGCCCACAAGGGAAGATAGAACCCGAGCATCCTCCGAGATAGTGTGAATGACTGATCACTTGTGACCAGGGTCCACCTCGGAGCGGGTAATTGGTTAATCAATGTTGGGCTCGAACTCGGCCCTCTAACTTCCGAAATGTATCCTTCTTCACGACTTACAGTCACCCAGCCCGAAAAAATCTTCCAAAGTGGACGAGTCCACACCATCAAAGAAAGAATGAAAGGGATCGTCCATGCCATGGATCCCTTCGTTGGACTTCTCCTTTCCTGCTAGGGCCTCTTCGAGCATGGACTCGGTGTAGGAGGGCATCTCCAAAATTTTTATTACACCACGAGCTTCCTTTGGAGCGGAGCCGGGGGGTCTCGGCCCCCGCCTCCATATCAGTATCCCGCGTCTGAGGGAGGTCGGCCTTACGAATCTCCCCCTTGGCTGGCGCCTGCTCATGTCGTCTTCTTCGGACTTATCCCTGACCGAAGAAGCGAACGAGAGCTGGAGCTCTTCTTGCGCTTACGAGCCACTCTTTTCTTTGGCTTCACCATGGAGCTAGGGGAGCCCGAAGCCTTTATTTTCTTCTTTTTCTTTTTCCCCACGGCAGCCCCGGGCTGTCCCGTAATACAGGGATCAATGGACAAGGAACGTCCTCGTCCCCTTCCAAAGGCCTAAGTTCGGTGGTCTTATGCAAACCTACAAAAAAAAGGAAGAAAAGTCAGTATGATATAAGTTAATAGCATGGTATTAACTATTCAGAGAAAGACCTTACCATGAGAATGGGCCTTCCATCGGCCCTTCAAAATCTTGCGCCTTGCGCGATCGGAGTATGTCATCTATTTGCAGATGGCCTCGATCCACTCCTTAAGCCGAGGGACAACATTTGAAACCCGGGCAACGGCTGCACAATCACAAGTATGAATGAAAAGAAAGAAAATGAAGAAAACATTGACGCTTAAGGAGAGGCTGCCCTTACGAGATGCATTCCACTTCTCATGGAATGGCATGAACTCGGGAGGGATCAAGTCTTTGGTCTTCACCCGAACGAAGCGTCCTTTCCAGCCTCAGTCTCGATCTTCATCAATGCTCGAAAAGGGGGCCTTTCTGGCCCGACGAGTAAGACTAGTCCCCCTCGGAAGATTCGGGGGACTGTATAAATGGAGTAGATGATAAATGGTGAATCGACGAGACTCGGTCTTATTCACGAAGTAACGAATAAGGATCACAATCCTCCATAGAGACGGGTGGATTTGCCCCTGGGAGACCTCGTATCTCTTACAAAAATCTAAAACAACTGGGTCCACCGGGCCCAGCGTGAAAGGGTAAGTGTAAACACTTAAGTACCCTTCCACGTGGGTAGTAATAGCGTCCTCGGGCCCGGGAATACCACGTCCTTACCTTCCCAATTACAGTCCTCTCAGACCACGGGAAGGACGTCTTCCATCATGGAGCATATGTACCTTGATGCTCCTTCATCCCGGTTCTGCTTGGACGAGGGTTTCTCGACCTTGAATTCCTCCGCAATTAAGCACCCCCCGGGAATAAACATTTTCAAGGGGGGATCGGGAGCCAGTTCGGTAGTAGCCGACTAGGTGGCAGCCACTTCGGGAGCTACCGTTTTGAGGGTAACTACTTCAGGAGCAACCGCCTCAGTACCGGCGGCCGGTTGGGAAGATAAAGAGGCAACTTGTTGAGGAACATATTTGATATTTTAGCCATTGTTATCTGGAGAAGTTTTAAGAATTTAAAGAAAGAATATGAAGGTTTGAAAGAACGAGTTTGAAGGATAAAGAATAGATTGTGAAGATTTGAAGAAAATCTGGATAAAAACCTAGAAACAACTACGAGAAATTGAAGATCAAGAATGAAGATATGAAGGTTTGAAGAAGGTTGATAATAGCTAAGGAATTCGGAGGTAGAAGCTTGTTTGGAAAGTAGGAAAGAAACAGGGGATGGAAGCTTTTATAGGGAAGGATCGCGTCGCTTCGCATTCGGAGGTAACCAGCCGATGGTTGACACGTGTCCGAAGTCAGAACGACACGACTGATGGGACGTTTCGACGAACGTACAGAGGAAGGAACCGGAGAACATTTGTCATTTCTCATCACTTCGGAAAACCTACTCTTTGATAAACGAGAGGACTATCTGTATACAGGTAAAACTGAGGCTAAGGAGCACTCCGATTTCCCGGTGGGGGAAATGAAGCAAGGACGTAATTACAATGAATAAAAATCAAAGCTGCAACCTCCCGTATCAAGGCCCGAACAAAGCACCTGCCTCCAGAGCCATCGAGACCATGCCCCTGGACCCGATTTGAATAACTAGACCTCGAAGAGCATTGCCAAACGTCCCCACACGATTAACAAAGGGTCATGATATCTGTGCCCAACCAGATATCACGGCGTGAATCTCGGCCCGTATCAGCAGTTGATCGGTGATTAGCGAGAAGGAAGATCTTTACCTTTATTAGAATTGTAATTAGGATAAAATTCCCCTACTATATATAGGGGAAGTTTATTATTCAATACACATGTTGTAACACGCATACCAAGGCAATTCATATTTGTTTTCTCTATTTCTAAAGTTATTCAAGGTTCTTATCTATGTTCATAAGTTCTTCATAAGTGTTGGCTCCGAACCGAATGCAGGTTACTTGTTAAGCTTTTAACCGAGCCCGGATTCGGTATCATCACTGGTTTGGCTATTTAATCTAACTTTTATCTGTTTATCTAACGTCATTAGTCACTTGTATTGAATTAGTACACATATCCTTAAAACCGCATATAAATTCAATTGTTATCCATTTTTTAACAGTAAACGATATATTGAATTGTTTTTTTGAACTGTGCGGGCCTCAGGTTTCCAATTGCTAGTTTTTCCCCCCTTTAGGCATTAGTATTCGAAAGATTCATGTTGCGTCGCAGTTAGCTCCAGTAAAGGGTGAAGCTTTTCTTGTCAAAAGATTTTTTATTTCAAAGATTCAAAACCAAAATCTCTAATTAAAGATGTATAAATCTTAAGCATCCTATTATATCCCTTAAAGATCCATTATTAGGTTCTTACTTAAATAATTCGACCTACACAAGGTTCACAGAACACCGAATATAAATAGAATATTCATTTTGTTCTACTAAAGAATGATATACAATGTACATTACAACAACAATATCTTCTTCACGTGATGAAGAAATGTGGAGAAATCACTGTATACAGAAAATAATACAGTTTGATGCATACATTATTAGGCAAAGTAAGTAATATATTCGTACGTACATCAAGTTAAAAATAAGAAAGAATAATTTGAAGAATGATGTCTATGAAAGAAGAATATTATTCTAGTTAGAGAAAGACTGTAGCCATTGATCAGCATCAATGAAAGACGAGCTGAGGAAAGGAAGAGCTTGGGTGTCGTTAAGCTTTTGAACATATGGTGCTCTCTGCGACATATTTGATCCTGCTCCTGAGCAATTATACTCCCCATAGAAGATTGTCCTGTGCTCATTCTAATCAGTTCATATATAAACTCTACATTAATAGACAGAACAAGAATTTTAAGCGATTACGTAGCAAAAATCCGTGTAGAAATGCACCGGGTTGCGTACAAAGAACCTTGTGGTCCGGCTCTTCTCCGGATCCCGTGCATAAGGGGAGCTTAGTGCACCGGGCTGCCTTTTTACGTTGCAAAAATCATGTTTTGTAACAGTACTAGCGTATTTGAACATAACATATATAGATACTAAATAAATAATTAATCAAATATGAATGAGTCCAGCACCAGCGAGATCTCTGAATGCATCAATTGCTGTCAGCTCGAACTCTATAGATAGATAGATAGATAGATAGATAAAATTTAAAACTCACGTTGTCTAAATCCTAGATGGAAAGACGGGGGAGTATTATATTAGAGAAATGAACTTAACTGGTCTCTTGAAGGGTCATTGAGGTCGCTCCAGCCGTCTGGAGAGATAATATCAGTCATAAAAGTGTTGGCAAACACTACAGTTGAGAAAGGCCTCCATGCTCTGCCTAACCAAATCCTACCACTTCCTCCCACATTGCAGTTTACGAACGCAAATCCACTGTCTTCCTCTTTGGAACCTCTGCCGTGTGCTGTCACTGCTCCATTTATCGACCTCGATCCTGGACTCGCCATTGATATTAACTGGCAGTTCTGCATTTGAAATGTCGTCACGCTATCCGTCCCAACTTATATGGTAGTGTTTGACTAGGTACAGATATATTATTAATCTTAATGTTGGCGAAACTTATAAAGATATTATAGATATTTTTCTACAGACTAAGTGACCATTGAATGTATGTTCAAGGTGTTTCAAATCTTCTTTTCGTCTTCCAATATAGTAAACATTTCCTCTACATCATTCCAATGTCATTATTGTCCTTCAAGGGACTAAACTCTTCTCCTTTTGGCCTCTTAAAACTTGCATGAGTGTGTTGTCCCCAACTAACACGGCTATATACACCTAACGTATTTTCTATTGGTATTTTTTTGTAGGCGGATTCAGGATTTGAAATTTAATGAGTTCAACTTTGCTCTAAATTAATTATACCGTTAAAATTATGGGTTCAATCTAATATCTGTTGAGATTTTAATACATTTTTACATAATATATCTATATTCCATATCGAAAGTTATGTGTTCAGATGAATTCGTAGCCAAAAGGCTACATTCGCGCCTGATTATCCCCTAGACCGATATACAAAGTGTATTTTCTTTACACGGATAAAAACTCTATATATCTACTCTAGTGACTGTTCGCAAAGTGCAGCTATCTACCTTAATATAGTGTATATATATATTCAGATAACATAATTTTAGCTGTATGTACCTCATAAAGTGATTTGCCATTGCCAAAAACGAAGTCGATGGAACCTTGAATATAACATTCCTTGAAGTAATGGCGACCCCTATCGTCATGGAGGGTATCCTGAGCTCCAAAAAATCCACAACCCCAGAAGGCAGCTTGGTCTCCTCCTATCCTAATGGCCACTGCTTGTGCTCCTACCGCCCCCGGCCCTGGAATCGGAGCTACATTCTGTATTCACAAACATAACGACGTGTACAGGATATAAGTTATATACACTGACAATTTAATTTGTTATTGTTGATGCATATAACTTAACTATATGCATTTTTTTCCAACACATTACGACAAGCTAGTACTTTGCACAATATATAATATAGGAGTAGTAATTACGCTTGCATTAGAGGAAATTTCCTTTTTTTGTTTATGTTTTGATGCATTATTAAGATGAATGAATAGAGTAGGGCAAGGGTGATGTACCATGAAACTTATATTCTTAGCGATGAAGTTGGTGGAAAATACTTGGACAGAGCCACTGTAAAATGTACCACGTGAAGAATTGGCATTGTCATTATATACAATAGCTGTTGAAGTATACCCTTGCCCTTGAAAGGTGATATTAGGTTTGTTTTTTGGAATAATGACCTTTTCACTGCATGCAAAAAAACAAAATTAGTCGTTTTAGCTCAGATAATACCTTATATTCAACAACAAAGCAAGGAATAAAGTTATTCCAAGAAGCAGGGGTGTTCAAACCAAACCGGAAAATCGCACCAAATCGAAAAGTCAAAATAAACCGATTAAAAACCCGACTAGGATTGATTTGATTTGGTATTAAGTAAAAAAACCCGAACCAAACCGACATATAAATATATAATTTTTATATATACTTTTAAGACTTTTATAGAATTTTCTTTGAAAATATCTAGATATTTGGGATCCTCTCATGCGATGCGATATTTTAATATATCTATGAAGTGCATCATTTTTATAGATTAAAAAATAATGGGTTGTACCATCACTTTCTTATCAAGTGTTATTGAAATGCGTCAATCTCTTTATTCTTTAATATCATGTATCAAGATATATTAAATTCTTTTATCTTATTCGAATTTGAAATGCTATTTCGATAATTTTAAAATTAAATAGAACATATGATTATTTTGATCTCATATTGATGTTTATGTTTAATTATTAAATTTGGTACCTTGAAAGCGTATATCAATGAAAAATTATTATAAGACGACTAAGAAAATAACTATCACATGTTACTACAAAAATTCTCCCATAAGAATATTTTAATACATCATATGTTTGTCAGTTGTTGTAATTTTTACTAAAAATATATTCGTTTATCAAAACTTTAACAAATTAAGATTGAAATACAAAAAACCTGAAAAACCCGGAAAAAATGACAAAAGCGAACCAATCCAAACCGATATATATAGTTGGTTTGGTTTGGTTTTGATAAAACCGAACCAACCAGGTCCATGCACACCAAGAACAATAAGAACAATGATTTAGCTAATTGTGCACACAGAATCTAATGAACTTTTACACCACTAGTACGTACTGTAATTTAATATGTTTGTAGAATGTTGTCTACCTTTTTTTTTAAGGTAACTTGTTTCACTTATTAACTATGCAGACTTACTTGTAGTTATCATATAGTGTAAATAATTTTTTACGTTGTTATTGCATTAAAACTCAAAGGATAAAGGACTTACAAATATATGCCACTGTTTATCCAAATCAAGGTCCTTGTCGCGCTGAAATTCCCAACTGAATCAACAGCAGCTTGAACTGCAGTGAAATTGCAGCAACCATTATGATCAACACAGAGAATGGAGGTTGTAGTAGGATCTATAGTTGGGAAATTTGGGGAGAAATTGTCACATATTGATTGTTTTTTGTCATCACGGTGATGACGATGATGACCTCGTTGAATATTGCTGTGAATTATTCTTGAGATAATAGGAGATGATAATTCCTCCAAAGTTAAACGATCAAATATCTTAAAGGAAATTGATGCCAAAATGGCCACAATTGCTATGGAAAGAGGGAAATATATGCTTTTAGGAATATTCATTTTTCTTATTGGAGCTAAAACAAAGAAGGTGGAGATATATTAATTGAGAGGATGAGGTATTTTTAAATAGGAAATCTTGGATTAATATATATACTTGGAAAAACAAGAGGGAAAAAAGGGTAAAAAAAGGAGTACATGAATGAATGAAGTATAAGAATGGTTTGACATGTCTTGCAAATTACCCTGTCCCTTTTGGTTACTTTTTTGCAGAATGCACGTACCTACCTAACTTGACACCTTTGTCACACTGTAATTCCTAAGTAACTGATATTAGAAAACAGCATAAAAGACTTCTATTAATAGCATGTTTGGCAAGCCGAAAAAATCAGCTTATTTTAAAAAGTGTTTTTCTCAAAAGTATTTTTAGTGAGAAACAGTTTGTGTTTAATAGTTATTTGAAAAGCACTTATGAATGGCAATTAGTGTTTGACCAAACTTTTAAAAACTTCTTTTAAGTATACTTTTGGAGAGAAGCTACTTTTTTCTGCTTCTGCTTCAGCTTCTCCTCAAAAGCATTTTTTTCTTCCAAAAGCTTGGCCAAACACTTCAACTCCGAAAAAAGAACACTTTTTTTGAAAAAAAAGTGCTTCCACTATTGGAGAAGCTTGGCCAACCAGGCTATTACTCGCATCACAATATAAGAAGCATTAGGTGACATTATAAAATATATAAAATACTCCTAATTAATTATAAATTATAAATCAGAAATATTAGTCCTCTCATGAGTTTGATTCATCGGATTAAACTAGGAAAATATGGGACTATGGGTTTACTAAATACCATTGAGGGGATATTTTTAAAAATAGCCAGATTTACAACTGGTCGTTCAAAAATAGCTCAATTTCAAAAGTAATCGAAATTTAGCCATTTTTTATGTAAAGATAAATCTGAGCAAAAACACTATTCAAAACNAGCAAAAACACTAATTCAAAACCCGGAAAATACTCCAGTAGATTATGCTGGAGTTCCAGCATAAGTATACTTGAACTCCAGCATATTATACTGGAGTTCCAGGATAGTATGCTGGAACTCCAGCATAATATGATGGAGTTCCAGCATAAATACACTAGAACTCCAGCATAATATACTGGAGTTCCAGCAAGTATAATGGTCCAGTATAATATACTGGGGTTTGGAGCACCAGTGCTCCAGTCTCCAGTATATTATACTGGAGCCAGCAAAGTATACCGGTCCAGCATAATATGCTGGAGTTCATACACAAGTGCACCGAACTCCAGTATATTATGCTGGACCGGTCTCTATTGCAGCAAAACGGTAGCTATTTTTCATTGACTTGGTAAACGCTGACTATTTTTGATTGATCAGTCGGAAAGCTGGCTATACCGTGAAATTTTGGCACCATTGCGTCTAATTTGCAGGTCAATAAATTAACTTTCATTTTTCAACCTTATCCTTGCATTATAATTTGTCATAATATAAGTAAGGGACCTTATCTAGCATTGTTATATGGTAGAGTAACAATCCACCTTTTGAAGAAGAGAACTAAAGCAATCCATGTATTAATTAACAAATCAATCAAATACGTTTAATCACAAATTAGTTAGAAACAGTCAGTAAGGTCAATTCAGAACTCATTACTGTCTATTTGGATGCATATGCTATAGATTTCATTATAGTTACTTAGATTATTTTTACGCTGGTCATTAACATATATGTTCTACCTATATCTTAGCTGGGTCCCGGTTATGCTTTGTTATTATATTAAGTAACTAGTTCATGAGCAACTTGATTCTTGATAATGAAATTTGGTATTTACAACTTACTTGAAAACACATTTTATCTATATAGTGCTGCTTTATATATATTTGATTGAAGTTATTCTTGTTTTTATTGTACGTAGAGGTCAAGATCTGTGTTCGTGATACCCAAATTAATGGGAAAGGTAACTTGAAGTCTAATCAGAAGCATATCAAAATGTGGAGAAGCAATGGACAAACAACATGAGTGGAGAACAAAAGAGGGAGATTGAATTGAAATTTTGTATATAAGATGGATGTTGAGTTTGAGAATATGAATGAGAATGAGAAAAAGATGAGGACCAAACACTACTAGAATTCCTGCATAAAGCGACCAAAATTTAGCGACCAAAGTTGGTCGTTAAACTAGTGAAAATAAAAAACTAATGATTTTAAATAAATTAGCGACCAACGTTGGTCGCAACTTGGTCGAAAATTTTGTCAAACTGTTGACCGGACTGGTCAGACTTGCTTGGTCAAAGAATTACTCAGATTAGCGACCAATGTTGGTCGCTTCATGGGACCCACTTATTAAATTTTAATAATTATAACATTATTTTTAAAAATTAACAAAATATAAATAAATAAAATTTAAAATTAGCGACCAAGGTTGGTCGCTATATAAAGAGAAAACAGGTTGAGACCAACTTTGGTCGTTAATCTGGGACCCGGTTAATATTTTAAATATAATAAAAAAGATAAATAAATCTGATTTAAGCTTAGCGTCCAACTTAGGTCGCTAATTTAAAATTATGTATGTTTAGCGACCAAAGTTGCTCGCTATTTAGGTCAATCACTTTTGTATTTAGTAAATAAAGAATATAAATGTTAGTCGTTAACACTTTTGTAATACAAGGGATGAATAGTACTACGAAGCGTGCGTGTGTATCTATCTATATATATATATATTACTTACGCTATACTATGCACGAAGTATAAGTGTATTAGGTAATATTATATCGAATGTAGCTTTTATATATATATATATATATATATATATATATAATATATATACTTACGCTGTACTATGCACTAAGTATAAGCGTATTAGGTAATATTATATCGAATATGGCTTATATATATGTAATATATATACTTACGCTGTACTATGCACTAAGTATAAGCGTATTAGGTTATATTATATCGAATGTAGCTTATATATATAATATATATACTTACGCTGTACTATGCACTAAGTATAAGCGTATTAGGTAATATTATATCGAATATGGCTTATATATATGTAATATATATACTTACGTTGTACAATGCACTAAGTATAAGCGTATTAGGTAATTATATCGAATGTAGCTTATATATATATATATATATATATATATATATATATATATATATATATATATATATATATAGTAATATTATAT